CTCAGGCTGGTCTCGAACTCCTGAGCTCAAACGATCCGCCCGCCTCGGCCTCCCAGAGTGCTAGGATTACAGGCGTGAGCCACCGCACCTGGCCCCTTCCTTGGTTTATACAACGCAATTACATCAATGAGAAAAAAATCAAACTAGGCATCCAAACATTGGAAAGAATGAAAGGAAATCATTACTGTTTACAGATTATTTGAAAGCATAATTGTGAAATGCTACAAAGTCAACTGAAAAATTATTACAATCAATATAAGAATTCAAGAGAGGATATATAGAGCTCTCATATATACAAACAGCAATGATTTAAAACATCAAATAGCAACAAAAAAAAAGATAAACTCCCTAAAAAGTCTCAATGACTTAATATTAGTAGAGAGCAAAATAATTATACAATAACATCATTTTATTAAAAAATCCACATATCAAGCAGTACAATAATCATTACAATTTTTAATATTTCAGCTTCTCTCTTATATTCTAAGAACTTGCATCTAAAAGAAATTTAAATCTTACACACAGATCAATATGAAGGTTGGAATTTAACTAACGTTGAGCTACTTCTTGTTTCGATTAGGAAAACTGGTTCAGGGAATAGCATAGAGTTAAGAGCTCAGCAGCTAGAATTTGACTGGCCTCGGTTTGCATCCTTACTTAATATTTATCTTACTGCTTGACTCTATGTAAGTGTACTCTATATAGCTCAGTTCCCTCATCTATAAAACAGTGACAGTTCGTATCTCATAGATTTTTTATTTTAATGAAGTAATGCAGGGAGATTACTTAGTACTGACCCTGCTACATAGCAAGCACTCAAAAATGCTAAAATCTACCTCCACTGGGATTATGCCTTTATCTATTTAAATATATGTGCTCAATCCAGCCGAGGCATCAGAAACTACAGCGAATGGATGACCTGGATTGCTACAAGCCTTCAATGGATGTGAGAGTAGCACATCAGGGCTTTGATCGAGTTGACTTTTGTAAGCGGTGCAGGCTGGGTCTCTGTAGTTCAAGTGTTTGGCAAATTCACGTCCTCAGAGTGTAAAATCTTTAAGGTGGGACTGTTGCTAAGGTTTTTCTATGATGTCAGTCCCCTAACTTCCATTTTGAGATGATGCTTGGACTTGAAGAGATAGGAGGCATTTTGATTTAAAATGACCTGATTTCATCTAAACACACTGTTTTTACTCTAAGGGCACAGCAGCATCTGGGCAGAACCTATTCTGAGACATGGTTCAAAGACAGCTCTTTAGTCCTCTCAATATCTCTCCAAACCAGCGGGCTACAAATAGAGGATTCGATATAAATACAAGTAGGAGTCTATATTTAGGATTGAGTCTGGAAGCCTATATCTGAAGTGGAAGAGAGAGTGTAGTGTGGCATTTACAGGTGCTCTGAATTTCCATCACATCACTTACTACCTCTGCTCTTTGGCATGTTTCTTAATTCTCAAAACTTTTTATATGTAAACACGTTTTGTGGTAC